TTTGCAATTAGTTTTAGCCAAATACAAGAGAGAAACAGAATTAAAATGTAAATAAACCTTACCAGTCGTATCAATTTGAAATAATTTTTATCAATTTTAGTCGCCATGAAAAAATTATATAAAGTCAGTCTTCTTTATAGGATAGATTTTGAAAGGAAGGAGTATTATCTGGGAAAACTGACTGCAAAAAAGAAAATATTGTTGTTCAGTAAGTGTTGGAGGGGGTTCCTGCATCCCCTCTTACCACCCTTACCTGAAAATATATATTTGCTTATGTTTTGTTCACATGAAAAAAACGTCATATTCGTTTAAATAGCTTTCCAAAATAATTTGTATCAATTTGGAATTTCTCGATCTATTTTTAGATCAATGTAGAGGTAATAAATCCTTGTATTCACCTGGAACGTCACGTGCAGGTCAATACAACAGAGTTGGATCTCAGCCAATCAGAGAGATGGAAGTTATTTAATCATATAATAATCTAATTTATTACATACTTAGTAATAAGTACAGGTTTTTTGCATATGCGATATGGCTGACGTCACAATAGCCGTATCAACCCTGCAAGGCTGATATGGATTTGCAAGGCTGATAACCTATATTATTATATGATTGAATAATTTCCATCTCTCTGATTGGCTGAGATCCAACTATGTTAGAAAAATACTACGTTGTATTGACCTGCACGTGACGTTCCAGGTGAATACAAGGATTTATTTCCACTACATTGATCTAAAAATAGATCTAGAAATTCCAAATTGATACAAATTGTTTTGGAAAGCTATTTAAATGACTGACTTTTTTCATGTGAATAAAACATAATCGAATATATATTTTCGGGTGAGTGTGGTAAGAGAGGATGCAGGAAACCCCCTTGATTTACTGAACAACAAGTTTTACTTTTTGGCAGTCAGTTTTCCCAGATAACTCCTTTCTTTCAAAATTTATCCTATAAAATAGACTGACATATTTTTTTTCATAGCAACTAAAATTGATAAAAAAAAAACACCTTCAAATTGATACGACTAGTAAGGTTTATTTACATTCTAATTCTGCTTCTCTCTTGTAGTTGGCTAGGACTTAATTAAATGCATACAAGTAATGAGCTGTATCATTTTATCAGTGAATCATATAATAAAACAATTATTGCTGTTTTTTTGGTCAATACAATGATTTAGCCATCTTCGAAGTACAATATTCACCTCGCCCTTCGGACTCGGTGAATATTGTACTCCCCAGATGGCTAAATCATCGTATTGACCTCATAAAACAGCAATAATTGTATATCAGCCCCGCAAATCCATATCAGCCCTGCAGGGCTGATACGGCTATTGTGACGTCAAATATCACACCCTTAGTAAATTAAACCACAAAAACAGTACTTGTGATCATACACAATTTTTGGTGGGTTCATATTCTCTTAATTTTAACTTTTTGAAAATAAGGTTAATCTTAATTTACAAATACTTGTAATAGATTAATGTCAAATTACGGATCTAGTGCATTGAAATAGAAGTAGAAACAAACCCAAATATGTATGAGACAATAGACCATGTACATGTATGTAAGAAGTCCATGCATGATTATTTACTTATTTTCTTCTCAACTTAATGTATGCTGTATTTTATTACTAAGTATTTAATAAACATATTAATACATACCCTTTTCCACGTCACATCCTGTATCAGCCCTCGACCAATATCAGCCCTCGGGCCTTCGGCCCTCTGGATGATATTGGTATCTCGGGCTGATACAGGATGTGATATGGAAAAGGGTATGTATTATTCTCTATATACATCTTGCACTCTTTTATACATGCAGTTTATACTGAGTACTGAAAGCCATGGTCTTGTTAATGTGAAATTGGATTTCTATGTTGTCACTATGTTCTAAGATCGTTCAAATTGATTCTAAAGGAGATAAATTTTTACACATGTATAACATGTATATTATTCTCATTACTTTTACGATATTATTTACCAAATTATAATACATTATAGTTAAAAATGATTTAGAAACGAAGCGACGATTGACGAGCTTCAGTCAGAAATAAATTGATGGAGACTGCAGTTCAATTAAATGTAATCAATTAAAATAATTTTATTTCTTTTCAAGTTTAAGAATAAAAAGTTCTTATAAAAAAAAGTTGTCTTTTATAAATCCAAACGCCAAATTATAAATAAAATTATAAATGTAGTAACATATAAGAGAGTTGTGTTGATTTTTAGTGAGATATTTTGTTAAATAGAAAATATGTAATACAATACATACTCTGAAGTCAGTTGTTTCAGCTGTAATATAAAAATGGAAATGTTAGGATATATCAGATCAGATTAAAAAGTTTTTTTTTTCGGTTATTCTCAATACTAAGTACTGCTTGTTAGTCTGAAAAAAAATCTGTGGTGAACGATCAGAGAGCAAAAGTAACACCCAATGAAAAAAGTGTATAATGATTATTAACATTGCAATATTCGATCTTTTCCATTTGTATTGTATGATTTTGATTTGTATTCTAATATTTTCCATTTGTATTGTATAAATTTTCATTTATTTTTGTATAATTTTTATTTATATTTTATAATTTTCTATTTGCATTCTATAATGTTCCGTTTGAATTATATTTTTTTTAATTTGTATTCTATATTTTCCATTTGTATTTTTAAAAAGTCATTTAAATTGTATAATTTTTTTTCATTTGCATTCTATATTTTCCGATTGCATCGTAAAATTTCCTATTTGTATCGTAAAATTTTTTATTTGTATCGTTAAATTTCTTATTTGTAACTGTAGCTGATGATTCATTATTTATTTCTTGAAACATGCCATAACAGCTAAGAAAGCTCTGCTTTCAGATAAGTTTGGATGTCTATGGAAACCCTTTCATTCGAAGGGGGTATGATTATTCGAGGTATTAATTGTTTATAAACATATCAATAAAGTGTTTTGATGAGATTTCTTAAGAATCTCTAAATTCATCCATCCATCATATTTTTATTTAAATAAAAATATTCACAAATAACATCTCTCTTGAACTTGTCTTACCTTGATGTTTATGCTGTAGATATGTGGCACTAGCACCGAGGCAATCAGTTAGAGGTTTTTTGTTCTTCAACCTTGCAAAAGTAACATTTATAGTACAGCATAAATGTAAAATTCTTTACCTTAAGGGAATAGACTGAATTCGAATTTTCTCTTAATTCTTGGCATTTTGAACAGCGATGTACATACAATACAAAGGTTTTCAAAATTTCTCTCTTTAATTATCAAATGTAGTATTGTTTATTGCCGCTTCAAAAATTCTTCAAATAATGGAATATCTTCTGTCCAAATGAATTGTGATGTAGAAAGTATAATGACATAACCTATCATTGAAACAGTGATACACACGGTAAGACAGAATCCAAATAAGCTTATATAAATACACTCTACAGTGATATATAGGGTGCAACTATATGATAAATGATCTCAAGTCTTCCTGTGCAATAAACTCAACTCTTCTTACTTTCTGTCATCAAATATTTTAGATACTAGTATATGTTCCTTTTTATCATTACATAGTGTATATTAATCAACATATTATCATACTCTGTAAGTCACCCTTCATGTCACTGCAGCAGGGGTCTTACTATCATATTGAGTAGAAGCAGAAAGTCAGTACAAGTCAATATATCATTACCATATTCAATGAATTGTATGAGTGCATGATTAATGTCAGTGAGATGCTATAAGAAATACTTCTAACGAGTTCTTTTTTATAAACAACACCCCGTCCTAATTATTTACAAAAACAGAAACTATTGAAGTCTACATTTTCAAAGATCCAATTAAAAATAGTCTTTGTTCCTATATTTTCATTACCCATCCCTCTTTTATTTAATCCATTGTAAAATAAGGTAACAAGATTAACATGTATGAGCTGTAATGAATTTTTATTAACCTTAAGGAATTTTTTAAATGAATAATCATCTGTACTTTAAAAAATTACGTAAACGAATTCAAGCTGTTGGAACAAAAGTCTTTAAAAGCTGAAAAGCAAAAATAATAACTTAATGAAAGAAACAATACATAGAGTATGAAGAAAAGGAGTACATGTATGAGAGATTGAAAGGTTAAATATGGCATGACTTTCTCTGTACCCGGATGCAGTTATTTACCAAAGTACAGCACATTCTGTTGTTGTCAGCAACCATTTGTGTGGATTAAAAGAGATGGAGGAAATTTTCTGCAAATCATGGTAATATTATAATTTTTGTTCTAGACCTTTATGTCTGGCGTTTTTAACCAGTTTTAATACAAATAAAGTATGCCAAAGTATTAATTGCACGAAAACATCTGAAATAAAAGAGAAGTAGCAAAAATAGAAACATTTAAATAAGGATTATGTAAAATTGCATACAAGTATTAATCAATATTTTAACCACCCCTCCAAAATATTAATTAAACGAATTTTTACCTCTTTGCCATCAATGAGGTAGTGGAATTCTGGGCAAACTAACGCACAACCGGCATACGCAGCATCAACGTGCAGCCAGACGTTCTCCTTGTCACACACCTCCGACAGCTCATAAATGTCATCAAAGGAACAACAAGAAGTGGTGCCCACCGTGGCACAGACCTGAAAAATACACAATGCATCTCTTTCTTTCTCCCTGTGTTGAATGTCTCAATTTAAATCAATGAGCTCCTTCATAGATAGAGAAAATTATAATCGATACTTCAAATTAAAAAAGGTAAAGCTCATGAACAACAATTGATCTCATAAACATGGAGAATGTATGAAATCAATGAGACTTTAATATGAAAAAAAAGAGAAAATTGTCACCGATACTTCAAAAAGTGTATTTAAATAATGACCAAACAATGATGAAAAACGTCAGTCATCTTTTAATACTTAATTCTTATGATAGATTGTATTTGCTGACAAGGTCATTGTATCGACCATAGAACTTCCAACTGATGACTTTAAACGAGGTATTGATATTCTTATTTCATCAACATGATTGTCAATAGCTTGCCTCATTTTATATATTCTTCGTACTTAGAAACTCTACGCACTTACGAATCAAATTAAAGAGACAAACGCCATATGCAAGTGATAAGGGAATATCGCTATATAAGTAAGGGAAGTTGACGAATAAAAAGAAATCATGTTGATCATAAAGCTTTGTAGTTAGTATTAAGCGAGCCAACATAAAAATGGAAGTACTAGCTATTAATTGGTAATACGTTGTCGATATATATGAATGTTGAGCTGAAGGTCACGGCAAGTGATTTATTTTCCCATGCACAATGTTTGAATATGAAAATACAGCTGAATATACTTTGAAAGTTCTCATTATGTAGTGCCTGAAAGTAAAAATATGAAGCAAACGAAGAACTAAAATATCGACACTTACAAAAAAGGGATGGAGTCCATTTGATTTGTCTGTCTGAAAATAGAAAGGCGATTGTAAGTCTGTAGGCTACAGATTTGTAACTGATCTTGTAAAAGATTAGGTTGGATAACCAGAGATGTACAAAGCCATCATTGAAAAAAATGTGTATATTGTGCAAAAAGCGAGCGTTTTCAATTCATCTCTTTACTATAGAATAGGAAGAAATTAATCTAGAAACGTGCGCATATACATGTATTTTGCACATTAAATATACACTTTTCAGGTGGTAGCTCTGTGATCCTGTTCGTCCATCCAATTTTTTCACACCAGCGAGCTACATATCTGTATTCATAAGAAACTGCTTTGGGTCCTTGCAAAGAACAATTTCCGTTTACAGATTAATTCCGTTTTCGAATTAATTACTGCCTTTAATTCTTCGTTCTTCATCATCTTTTGCGAATTATGGTTTAATTTCAAGACGAAGTCGCAACTTCTTTTTATTCTCTTTAAAACCTGTAGCTATATGTAGTTTATCTGCATCTCAGAAAGGATTACTAGTATTTTCCTAAAATTTTATGCTAAACAATTATGTCATTTATCATTTCTATGATTTAATTTTAGTGTACCATGATGCTTCTTTTCAAAGCTTTTACAGACAAGGAAAGATTTTCATCTACTTCGATCTGTCGTAAAATCACGGACCCCAGTGAACAAGCCTTTTGAACACATACGTTAGCCTGAAAGATATAGAAAAGTAAGTTAAACATCAATATTACGGTATTTCTCGATACAAATAGTTCTCGAACGCAAACCCAGAAAGTTTAGAGGTATTGAGTTCATAAATAAGATGTTAAATGTTTGGGGAAAAAACATGTGGCAAAGGCATGTTGAAAACTAAATCGATGAGGATTAAATGCATACAAGCAAATTCAAAGAATTGTGGTCCCTCGCTTTCGGTGTCTTTGTGGGTGAGATGTTATTTTTTATGACATATTGTGTGTAATATGAACATACTATCATATGTCATTTATTTAGAAAGTAACACTGAAGTTGATTCTTTTTGAAGGATGAAAACCCTAATCCTTACCGTTAAAAAGTTATGGCCAAAGTAAAATGTTTTTTTTAAAAGTAGGTCAACTCCAAGTTCAAGATCAAAGGGTCAAAGTTGTTGATATCCAATGAAAGGTTTTCTCACAAGGATTACATATGTGAAGTATGAAAGCCCTAACCCTTACTGTTCAAAAGTTATGATCAATGCTAAAGTTTTTTTCATAAGTACACAAATCTTTAAGGTCAAGGTCAAAAGGTCAAAATTGTTGATATCCAATGAAAGGACTTGCCACAAAAAATACATATGTGAAATATAAAAGTCCTAGTATCTACCGTTCAAAAGTTGTGACCAAAGTTAAATTTTTTTAAAAAAGTAGTTAAAACTCCAATGTCAAGGTCAAAGGGTAAAGGTTGTTGGTATTGACTGAAATGTCTTCTCAAAAGGATTACATATGTGAAGTATGAAAGCCCTAGCCCTCACCGTTCAAAAGTTATGGTCAAGGTTAAAGTTTTTTTATAAGTACGTAAATCTCAAAGGTCAAGGTCAAAAGGTCAAGGTTGTTTGTATCCAATGAAATGTCTTGCAACAAGGAATACATATGTGAAATATAAAAGTCTTAGTATCTACTGTTTAAAAGTTGTGACAAAGGTTAAAGTTTTTTGAAAGTTGTTAAAACTCCAAGGTCAAGGTCAAAGGGTAAAAGTTATTGGTATCCAATGAAGGGTCTTCTCACAAGGATTACATTTGTGAAGTACTAATGCCTTAGTCCTCAACGTTCAAAAGATATGGTAAAGGTTAAAGTTTTTTCATAAGTACATAAATCTCCAAGGTCAAGGTCAAAAGGTCAAAGTTGTTGTTATCCAATGAAAGGTCTTGCTACATACAGTACATATGTGAAATATGAAAGTCCTAGTACCTACTATTCAGAAGTTATGGCCAAAGTAAAATGTTGGAATTTTTGTGTAAAAGTGGGTCAAACTCCAAAGTCAAGGTCAAAAGGTGAAATTTGGTGGTACCCAAAGAAAGATCTTGTCACAAGGAATACACATGTGAAATATGAAAGTCATAGCTCCACTAAATCAAAAGTTATGGGCAAGGTTAAAGTTTTTGTGACGGACAGACTGACCGACTGACAGACAGACGGACAGACAGACAGACGAATGAGATTTAATGTCCCCTCGCTTTCGCGAAAGCGGGGGACAATAAAGCTGAACATGACAAAATTACGTTTTAAAAGAAAAGCAGACAACAAAATACAAATATACCAAACATGAGGTGTAGGCGACAAGCCGGGGAGCTTCGTCCACTGTGTTTTGTAGAGTGTGACGTTTTGCAGCGGAAAGAGCCAAGAAAATACACTCGCTTCCAGATCCCTATAATGTCATGTTGTATACCTTATAGAGAACTTTTTAAAATAACAAATTTGCAGTAAGGAACCTTAAAAAATTCTAAGCAAGATAACTTTATAATGATGAACTTAATCTTTTATACGTAAATATTGTTGGGGGGAAAAGGCAGGAAAAACACTGGTATCCTACTGACCTGAATGGACCCCCCACCCTCTCCTCCCTCGTGTAAAAACTGCTTCGGTAGAGACACGAGTTTACCTGAAATGAAACAACAATGCTCAATGTGTATCTATAAGCAACAAATTACATTCCATATGGAAATGATTGACTATACGTCACCTAACCAGTCTGTGACAACCATTTCCAACTCCGTGCATGCGGGACTGATCGCCTGGAATCGAAATATAATCTATGAAAACACAGGATAGTGGGTAGGAGTTTGGAATGAAGCAAGTGTTGTGATGATATTGTCATTTTGTAAAACTTGAATTTTCTGGATGAACGGACGTTACTTTATATTTACTGCCATAGGGAAATTGTAGAATTCCCTGCATTCCATTTCATTCATAAGAAAGTGCTTGCAGTCCTTGCAAAGAACACTTTCCGTTTGCGGATCAATAAATGCTTCTAATTCTTATTCATCTTTTGAGAATAATGGTTTGATTTCAAGACAAAGTCGCAATTTTTAAAATTCTCTTTATGAAAAAAGCAATTCCAGAATCTGTATTTGCATCAATGTTTTAAAAATAATGAATGTCATATCTGAATATCACTAACTTCTGCTCTGGTAAGAGAGATAACTCTAATTGACATAAATGTCTATTATTACTTTATAGATTTGCCAAGTTGAAGTCTTTTTGTCCAATTTTTCCTGCGAGCCATGCTATAATTGTTTGTATTTTATTTAAGGTATAAAATACATTTCTTATGGAAAATCATTAAAGTTCAAGCTACAATTTATATGAGTGAGCAGAGAGTTTATGAACCTTGAACCGCGTTAATATAAACCTTTGTATTTCTGCAACGAAAACAAGATTAAAACAATAAAGACAACTTGCAGCCGCAGAAAATTTGTTTTGAAAATAAAAAAGAATGAAAGCCATGCAATACATGAACCAGTATACATTATATTTAATTTCAAAAGGAACCAGAGACATGAGAACGATTTACCCTATGGGAATATTTCTTTTTGACGTCCTAACCCCACTTTTAAACCAGAAGTCTCTGTCGAGACTGAAGCTCTACTGGTTTGTACTTATAACAAAGGAAGAAAAAAGTACTTAAGCAGTTGGAGATTGAAACTTTTCAACAGCAATGAATAGAATAATGATCCTCAATTAAGTCTCTTTATGTTCTTAGTGCAGTCTACTTGCATGCCACATTTATATTGTAATCAGACTAAAATTGTATTTGGAGTAGCATTTTGAAAGAATTTCACAGAAATTTCTATTTTTAGTAACCACGGCAACACCGTTCATCCAAATCAAAAACCGATATACAGAATTATGTATCTTATTGTAGTCTACTTGTGTGCCAAGTTAAACTGAAATCAGACTAAAACTGTAGAAGGAGTAACATTTTGAAAGAATTTCACAGAAATTTCTATTTTTAGTAACCACGGCAACACCGTTCATCGAAATCAAAAACTGATACACAGAATTATGTATCTTATTGTAGCCTACTTGTGTTCCAAGTTATATTGAAATCAGACTAAAACTGTAGAAGAAGTAGCATTTTGAAAGAATTTCACAGAAATTTCTATTTTTAGTAACCACGGCAACACCGTTCATCGAAATCAAAAACCGATATACAGAATTGTGTATCTTAGTGTAGTCTACTTGTGTGCCAAGTTATATTGAAATCAGACTAAAACTATAGGAGGAGTAGCATTTTGAAAGAATTTCACAGAAATTTCTATTTTTAGTAACCACGGCAACACCGTTCATCGAAATCAAAAACCGATATACAGAATTGTGTATCTTAGTGTAGTCTACTTGTGTGCCAAGTTATATTGAAATCAGACTAAAACTGTAGGAGGAGTAGCATTTTGAAAGAATTTCACAGAAATTTCTATTTTTAGTAACCACGGCAACACCGTTCATCGAAATCAAAAACCGATATACAGAATTATGTATCTTATTGTATTCTACTTGTGTGCCAAGTTATATTGAAATCAGACTAAAACTGTAGGAGGAGTAGCATTTTGAAAGAATTTCACAGAAATTTCTATTTTTAGTAACCACGGCAACACCGTTCGTCGAAATCAAAAACCGATATACAGAATTATGTATCTTATTGTAGTCTACTTGTGTGCCAAGTTATATTGAAATCAGACTAAAACTGTAGGAGGAGTAGCATTTTGAAAGAATTTACACAGAAATTTCTATTTTTAGTAACCACGGCAACACCGTTCGTCGAAATCAAAAACCGATATACAGAATTATGTATCTTATTGTAGTCTACTTGTGTGCCAAGTTATATTGAAATCAGACTAAAACTGTAGGAGGAGTAGCATTTTGAAAGAATTTCACAGAAATTTCTATTTTTAGTAACCACGGCAACACCGTTCATCGAAATCAAAAACCGATACACAGAATTATGTATCTTAGTGGACGGACACACATTTGGTTATATATTGGGTACATCAAGTCCAAGTCCTATTGGATACTGCTTATTGGATACAAAAAAAGTGTACACACGAGAGAGCATTATTTGGGTAGTTACTGTTCAAATCTTATTGGATATTAATCCTCGTGTCCGTATTTTATTGGGTTTTTTCTTATTGTTTTTTATTCATTTCAAATTTATTATATATTTAATATTTGCTGGTAAATTCAGACAAGACTGAAAACCTTTGGTTTTGAACCCATATTTTTGTCAATTTCTGTGATATAGCTCTTTTATTGTAACACCTAACTAATTTGTTCTTAGCAATAAGGATATACACCTGTATATTTCAAAATAACTAATATTAAAATATATGAATACCTAAGTGCAAAAAAACTGAATTGTGAAAACACAACTCAACACATCTCAGACTCTGTTCAACCTTTCTTGAATAACAAAATTAAGTATTTAAGGAGAAACCTTTTTGAGTCATGACCAATTAATAATAAGCAAATGCCCATTACATGTTGGACAGAATGAAGGTATCCAACAGGCATTGGACAGGTGTCCTATACCTGTTGGGTTGTATTTTGACGAAGGGATTAAACTACCCAAGAACAATTGAACATGTGTACATTGTCCAATTCTATTTGGGTTTCTTGAATCTCCTCATCAAAATACAACCCAACAGGTAATGGACACCTGTCCAACTCCTCTTGGATATCTACATCCCACCCAACAGGTAATGGACACTTGTCCAATTCTTCTTGGGTTTCTTGAATTGTTTCATCAGAATACCACCCAACAGGTAATGGACATCTGTCCAACTCCTCTTGGATATCTACATCCCACCCAACAGGCAATGGACACTTGTCTAATTCTTGGGTTTCTTGAATTGCATCATCAAAATACAACCCAACAGGTAATGGACACCTGTCCAACTCCTCTTGGATATCTACATCCCACCCAACAGGTAATGGACACTTGTCCAATTCTTCTTGGGTTTCTTGAATTGTTTCATCAGAATACCACCCAACAGGTAATGGACATCTGTCCAACTCCTCTTGGATATCTACATCCCACCCAACCAATGGACACTTGTCTAATTCTTGGGTTTCTTTAATTGCATCATCAAAATACAACCCAACAGGTAATGGACACCTGTCCAACTCCTCTTGGATATCTACATCCCACCCAACAGGTAATCGACACTTGTCCAATTCTTCTTGGGTTTCTTGAATTGTTTCATCAGAATACCACCCAACAGGTAATGGACACCTGTCCAACTCCTCTTGGATATCTACATCTCACCCAACAGGTAATGGACACTTGTCCAATTCTTCTTGGGTTTCTTGAATTGTTTCATCAGAATACCATCCAACAGGTAATGGACATCCTTGGGTCCAACTCCAACAGGTAATGGACATCCGTCCAACTCCTCTTGGATATCTACATCCCACCCAACAGGCAATGGACACTTGTCTAATTCTTGGGTTTCTTGAGAATCCCCTCATCAGAATACTACCCAACATGTAATGGACACCTGTCCAATTCCTCTTGGATATCTTCATCCCTTCAATAGTATATAAACTAAAAGGTATTGGACATTCTTCTTGGGTTACTCAATTTTTTTTCATAAGAAAGAAAACCCAATAGGTATTGGACATTGGTTCAACTCTTCTTGGATATTACATCCCAACATTAGAATAAAACCCAACAGGTGATGTTTACCTGTCCAATTCTTCTTGGGTTACTTATACCCTTCATTAAAATTGTCAAATTTGTCTTGGATATTTATACTCTTGCATTAGATTGCAAACCCAATAAGTATGACATTTACCTTCCCTAGTTGAATTCAAATTTATCTGCATAAGCATACATAAGTCCAAAACATATTTAATACTTTAATTCTAACATTCCACATCTCATTCAGTGTACACAAATGATAGGAAATATATAAGCATTTTGTGCCTAAACTATTTGGCTTTTAAAGAATTTTATAACCATGTTTGCAAAATTTAAATTTAAATATTGGAACTTGGAGCAAGTCATTACAGGTAGAGCAAGATGCTGAAAACCATATTGATAAATAGATCACACCCTTGATAAAATATTTGCCTTCAGTTGCTAAGATTGTGTTGTATTATATGGAAAATTTCTATAATCCTGTTTATTACAGATACATGTACAATGCATATTTTCCCTGTAATAATAAAAATACTTCTGAGATGTAAAAGAATGGATTAAATAGTCACCGATGTTAAAAGATATTACATGATCTCATTAATCTGGTTTGGAAATCACAAACTTAGTTTTGAAGCCGATAAAACAGTGTCGCACCAGAAAACTCAGTTACAAGTACAATGAATGAATTCGTTGTATCAAAACTTTAAAATAATTGATGCACTATGTCCAAATCTTTTCGACAAATCGGGATAAAGATATTAAATCAAATCATCACTGTTATAAGTCTTAGAGCTAGAGAAAAGTCATTACATGCCCAAATTTTACATGTAAGACTTTGATCCTATATTTCAATAAATGTCAAAATGGTTTTATTTTTGTTTCTGTTCAATACTTTCTTCTTCAGGGTCTCTCATGGCCTATACTGTATGATACCTCCATTGACCCTGCTCTTTTATATTGCCATATGTTTATCCAGTAGCAGTGGTTATGCTCAGGCAATCTTTGAAATATTCCTCATTTCATGCATCTCCTTCAGTTCTGCCTCTGTCCATTTTATTCATTCTGCAATTAGATAAAGGCATTTCTTTGCCGTATAAAACATGTTTTT